TGATTTTTCAAACTTTCCGCGTATCGCGTACGGTTGTCACTGCGCAGCTTATTGGGACGCGAAATTCGGTTTTCGTCCTACTTATTTTTTCCACGGTTTTCCTCAGTTTTTCGACCGCACATACTCGAACGACTGCTGGACGGAACACAGCGATGCGTGTAACACTCGATTCTCGCCGTGCGCCACCCTCCCCAAACGGTGAGCCTCGACGACAGAAGTTTAGGCTTTTCGTACGCCCGGCGCTGCCCTTATTTATAGTAGGTCGGTGCGCCGTGTATGGCCAAAGTTTAAACCTAAAAGTAATGCCATAAAATATATCGCCGAGGTCGTATGCGATGAAAATTTGTTCGATTTAAATGGGGTCCACCGTTCGTGGGGTGGACAATAGAGTTATATTACGACACCATACCCGTTTTGGAAAACATTTAAAAGGTCCAGAGGCAGAAGCGTTGTGGACTCACTGCGTTAAACGCTCAATGAGTTCAATAGGAGTGGCGAGATTTGGCGAGAGACGTAATTACATTTTCCCGGCACGCTTATGCCATAATATTATACAAAAACGGATAGAGAAATTTGAACAATCTGCTAAGCCAACATTATTATAGGATCGCGGTGATATGCTCGTGGTCTCTTATCATGTATGTATTATGATTAATTAAAATCGTTATCATTTACTGGCAACAATAAATGCAAGTCGATAAGGTAAGAATATCCATAAAAAACAGATTGATAAGATTGACGCATGCGTATATAATATCACGAAGCCTTTAACAGTACACGGGTAGTTAAGTTGGTTTCTCAGCTCGACCTATGGGCGGGACGTGCAATGACTCTGTCTATCGAATAATATTATCAAATATGGCGCGTATATACACATCTTCATTCAGGTACGATTCAAACGTATTTGTTTTCATTTAAAATACCATTTGCAGCCTGTGAACAAATCCTTACAATGACTCAAATCACATGGATAGCATGGAGAAGAAATCACCCTTTTCCACCACCTCTTAAATTATGCGGTCAATAGATATCTACACCAATTAAGTTCGATCTATGTGTCTTGATTTTGTGGGTAAGTGATGGCATACGTGTACGGGAAATAAGAGGTTTGCTATGTATATTGACATTTTTGTGGAAACGATTGTAGATTAGTTGAGAAGATTCAGAAACTGTTTTTGACTTTGAGTCATTCTGTAGCATATGGTCGACACGTATTTTGTTGCGTATGTTACCAGTTTTGATATAGTCGTGGAATACAAAATGAAGAGCTCTGATGTTTATAGGTTTAGCAGCACCCCAGATAGCGATTCAAAATGACCAAACTGGCCTATTTGTATATTAATATTTTTTTCTCTATATTATTGGAACGAACGGGAATGAATTTTGTTATACTAGGTTTTATGTATAATTTTCAGTCGACGTTTTTGATGTTTGAAAATTTTTATGTTTATTCACCAAACCGAGTACAGAGTGGTAGTTACTTTAAATTCCATTTTTTATTAAACCCATGTTGATGTTGTATACATGATCAGAGGACAACTAATGTGGGAATGTCACATTACATATTCAAAGTATATATTAATTTTAATAGTAAAAGACCTTTTGAAATTTTTATTGAAATAACTGTCTTACAGATCAGAGAAAAATATGGTTATTGCATCATGTAAGCGACATGCCGCTGAGACAGAGAAATCAAATACCAGCTATGAGACGTGAACGTAAATGGAAATAAAAATATAATAAAATGTTGATTTTTCATCCATCATATATTTCAGTGTTCTGTACAATTAGATAAATATCCAGTTCCAGTGCAAAGGTTAACGTAAAAAACACGATGAGACCGGTGTGGGTTAGTCACCCTCGAGTACTGATGCAGGTGATTGTTGCATAGTCACTCGGGGCCTTATTGAAACTCCATAAAAACTTTCAAAAACGACGAGAGATTATGGTAGGCAACCACAACCATAGCAGTGTAAAAATAACCAGTATAACATTGTTAGACCATGTACCTACTTCGCGGTAACCATATATTACCATGTACGTATAATGTAATCTGATGACTTGACTTGACTTGACTTCATCATTATAGTATTATACCATTTATTTGCATGTGTGTGTTATATTATATCCATATAATATGCACAATACAAAATATATAGTTTGTAACAAATTTATATCGGCTGCTGTTCTGAAGAAGTTTTTGGATATTATTTTGTTGCCGTTTTTTTGTGTACGATTCGCTTGATATAATAAAATGTCATGGAACATGCGAACACGAATCTTAAACTTTTCGTTTTATAATTTTGTGGCCAAAATAGTTTCGGTTCTTAATTATTTAAATACATATATATATTTTTATTATTTTGTTGGTTTTTCAATTTTAAGTGGATTACAGCGAATCGTATAAGCAATGTATATTATTACGTTTTACACGAACATGTGAAGGAATTATTGGTTGATGAATATAATATTGTAGTCCCTAAAATATATGAATATATATATTTTAATATACATATCATGCATGTATTTATTTATGTATTTATTCGAATACACGAAAAATAAATCCTATTATAAAATATTGAGTATCGTCCAAGTGCTAGGTACCTATAATGTTACTATTGGGAAATATAGATAAATTTATTCGAAAATTACGAAATTTTGTGTACCTGGTAATTTTTTTTTATGTGAGTCAAATAGATGTCACCAAGAGAGTTAATAGGAATGGTGACTTCGATAGGCAACAAAGACTTAGATCCAAAGCAACAAGCTTTTTTTTTAAACGTTTAAACATCTCGTCAATCATTCGTTTTTTAAAACCAACGAACTACCCCCCCCCCTCCCTCTTCCAAACGGAAATATAACATGGAGACAAATGTCTAATAACGTTAGTATATAGACACAACTCCTGTTTATTTTCAAGTATTTGTCACGCATAACCAAAGATACCTTTGTCGTTGACATAAAATGTTCGAATTATGCGGTCAAGCTTATTGATGAGTGACCGCAAATCGAAATGGAAAACGTCCTTACTTTTGGGGTAACTCAAATTGTCAATGCCATATTTAAATATATTTAATATATATATATACACATCAATGTATGGTGGACATGTGGTTAAATTTAAAAAAAAAGAATATTACACATTTAAATAATTTCAAAAACGTATGACCATGACGTGATCTGCTTGACTTTATCATTAATTTCAAAGAACCAGATCATTTGTTTCACTAGAACTATTTCTAACAAACCGTCAGGTCACTAAATCACTAATGATTATAATACATACAAATACATGTTATCTTATGCAACAAATCAATGTACTGTTGAAATATCATTCATGACTATTTAGTGAAAATATTTAATAATGCATTACATGCGTTATAAAATGTTTGACATTTGATTAAGAACAACAATTAACACAGGTTTTGAGTAATAGATATATACAAATATTATATTTAAAAGACAACTATTTTTATTAAAAACATATTCTGTATACCGTAATTCTATGGGTTGGAAACGTTTATTTGCAACAAAATTTTAATTTGAAACTTTGTTCTGGTTTTATGACTTTTATATATTATAATTTGTCTTAGTTTTATTTCTGGAGCATATTATTTTTCAAATTAAATACATATATACAATCACTTTATAACTGAGAATTGGGTTATATGAGCATTGCATGTACTTTATTTGTGAACACAGTATTAGGTAGGTATTCTAGAAACGAAATTACACAAATTGTACTTCGTGTTTTTTTGCCCTTTTAAAAATTCAAAATGTAAAACTTATATTCTTTTCCATGCACAATTTCATACTAAACAATTTGACTGCCATAATTTATTTTGTGGATTTTCCCTCATTGCGGTGAGCATCGAATTGATGTTCTACATTTTACAAAGTTTTAATTAAGTAGATATTAATTTAGTTTATATTGGATCACAGAAATTGTTTTGAATAGTCGATTACAAACTTCATGCTAAACCACATGTTCTAGCACCTGAAATGTATTACCTTGGTGTTACCTACTCTGATGTGATGCTAATTGAAAAATATTTTCAGATTCGATACCATTGGGCGTGATTATCAGATTAGCGTCGCACTTCATATCCACTATAATATGTTACCATAATTCGATTTTACTAGAAATGATTAATGTAGGTAATAAACTTGCATATGATTATTTAATACAAGACATGGAAGAAAAATATTGGAATCACCACGTGGCAGTGTATGAAAAACGATTTAGCATGGGATATGATATGATATGATATGATGTTCATGACAGTAAACTTTTAAATTACATTCCGCTAAGAAATTACAATTCTGACTATGCGATAATAATTATTATGTTATAGATAATGATTTTCAAACATTGGATGATTGTATAGTTTCCGTTCTGATGGGGCACATACTATTTTGTTTAAAACAATATTGCACTGCTTGTTAAAACTAACTATTCATAATATTCTATGTAATTTGGCACTTCCCGTTTTTCAATAAATAAATAAATAAATAAATAAATAAATAAATAAAAAAAAGTTGCATCGCAACACTCTGCATAGTAACAGTTTGAATCTGCAATAGTATGTATAATTTTTTCCCACGATAATTAAATAAATAATATCGAATTTAAAGCATTTAAACGTGTTCTGTGGACCCATAATAATGTATCCATCACAATGTGATGTCGGACGCAACGCGTGTCTGGGGTGCATTCCGCACGCTTATTTTATTTTATTTTATGTAAACAAGGGTTGATGAAATACTGGAAAGCTTCACGGTCCACCCTGTATACCACAAACCGTATTATGCGATAACGCTCGTAATCTCTACATTGTATATGCACATTGTTTTATTATTATTGTTCGTCTTGTCAATATATTTTAATCCTGTTTTCAAACTGTTTGTATACGCGCGTAATATTCGACTCGCGAAAGTTCGATTAATGAACTCGAACAGGGCGTACACAATTTTGAATTTATAAAATATTTTGTACGCAGGGCGCCCTAACGAGTCCTGCGTTTTCGTGTCCTGCGGTCTATATTTTTACTTTTACGAGGATCCTGAGCGTCACACACGTCACGGAAATCGTGTTATGAACCGCAGAAGGTGTAACGGCGGTTTCGAGGACAAGATGAATGCCACGGGATGAAACGTAGGTATCGTAGTATTATTATACTCGGACGCGGTAGGGACGGGAAAATGTTTCTACAGAGAGAGTACATTTTATAAAAGGATTTATAGAAGGACGCTCGTCACGACGCATATGGTACCTATACACACTAACCGTAAAAGGATTCATAGATAAACGTGGCGTGCGTGATTTGGAAGAAATAAGGTATATACGAGGCGCAATCAGGATCGGTCTACGATTATGTTTCGGCGCGTACGGTAGGAACTACAAACGCGAGTAGATAATAGAGTTGGCGGAATGATTTTGTGCCAGGAGGCATGGCGTACATAAGTAGGGATGATCATGTAGATTTTCCTGGCGTTTCGCGTGAGTTTATACGGATGAGGCAAGAAAATTGCGTTTTAAAATGAAAAATATGTGTGCAATATTCGGTGAATTCGAGGGAAATCGTTATCTATATCATATGTTTTCTCCCCTCCGTCATCCGATAGGGTCTCTCTCATTTCGTGGAACCGATAGCTACCTATACTACTACACCACAACTGCAGGTGACTCGGTTCGGTATTAAATTATATTCGCTATTCGATGTCAGGAAATTCGTTAAAACGCCATATTGAGTGAATAAATGTAATTGTTTGAATGTTGTGGAATACTGTGTAGTACCACGCATAAATATTAAAATTATTAATATCAAACATATCTACTCCGATTACTTCGACATACACGATAAACGAACAAAAGATTTAATAAGTGCCTTTACTGAATACAAGTGTCTGTCTAATGGCGATCGAGTCACACGACCACTACCACTGACTCCACATTTGTCAAATCCTATGACTTATATATTATCGCTTAGCCAAACTTTGTTTCGCAACATCTGCTAAATCTTACTGAATACTACTTAATAGTTGATTCTAACTATTGTTACATATATGTTTACTTAACTTAGAGAGTATTTTTAATATTAATGATTATTATATTTATGCATGAGTCTTATCTAATATAATATAATATACACTCATAATATAGGTAGTAGGTACCTTATAAAAAATGAAAATTGTGTAAAAAAATATATAATCATGGTATTGTTCGTAATTTATAAACATAATAGTTACAATAATATTGGGGCATACCGTAATTATAACTGACCACATTAGATTTTCTATTTTATCAATATTACGATGTTACTAATTTTCATTGCATTGTATAATGTATAGAACGATTAATGTCTGGACAGTAGACGGTATCAATGTGACATGTAAAGGTATAACACATTCATGTTCTTAAAATTTTGTAATATTTAAAAACATAGATGGTATTTTTAATAAAACCCACATATCGTAAATACCTTCTTAACGAATGTGCTCCAAAATTTGACAATAATCAACAGATATCGACAATATCGACAGACATTCCAAATCGATGTTAAATAATTAGTCATACTTTCGTAACATTGTTCTGTGTTAATGCCGATTACGTAAATGCTGTATTATTATTTATTAACTCAATAAAAATAATTCCAATAAAAATGTAGAACGGGGTTTAAAAAAAAAAAAACAGGTAATTGATTTGTGAATTATTGTACACGATTCGACCCCGCAGTGGCTCGTCTCCGGGTCGACCCCGAATAAACGTGAGGAGGGGCGGGACGATTAAAACATTGTTTATACGGATCAATTCTTGGTACGGAAGAGGGCACACCCCACATTAATCGACATTATTTCCTAACCCACTTTCGGTAACACACCGCCACTGATTCATCGCCGAACGCAAGAGATTGATTTGCTCCAAGTTTTAGTCGGCGGCGTATCGCGAAGAAACGCTCCACTCTATCACTATAATTTGCCGGCTACAAAATAAAGTAATAATAATATTACGCGAAAAGCAACGCTCTCGAACAACACGTTATTTTATGTTCACTGTGTGTGTGTGTGTGTGTTTGGGCGACCGCGGTTATCGTATGCAGTCGTAGTATTAACATGGTTCTCGGTAATGCAAATACCAGTGTGTTATATTGATCAACGCGATATTATATTATACGGGTACGTATCGTATACTTTCGCTACTCGAGAATATTACGCCGCTGCGAGGGGTGGCTGCCACCGGGGTGGGTGTCGGCGGTGGGTCGGCGGCGCAGGGACGCCAGACCGTTATTATATTTGGACGGGAGCGCTCGCGCTCACATGCACACGCATACCCACACA